GAAACCTATATGGACATACGGACTTGAACTGTGGGGGACAGCAAAAGCTTCTAACATCAAACGTATTCAATCCTTTCAATCTAAAGTCCTTCGAACAATAGTTGATGCTCCGTTCTATGTAAATAACAAAATCCTACACCATGACCTTAATATCCCATTTGTCCTAGACCTTATTCCAGAAAAATTCTCCAAATTTCACCAAAACCTTACCTATCATCCAAATCCCCTTGCACAATCTCTATCCAGCACCACCCATCCTTACAATCCTCCTCGAAGGTTGAAGCGGCAGTGGCCCAGAGACCTTTTGTAAATAAGCATCTATTGGAGTTTTGGCAATGGCCAGATCCTCCACTCAAGCCCGAGTGTGTATGATTAGGTTAGTTCTTTTGTTTATATACATTTATTTTATTTTATTGTATTTATTTTTATTTTATTTTATTGTATTTATTATTATTAAGTTTCTGTATTATTTATTATTTTTTTTTTTTTATTGTAAATAGAGTGTGAGTGTGCTTTCTCTGATCACTATTATAAATGTCCTTGATGTGACAGAATGTAATATTTCTAAATAAACAAATGAAAAAAAAAAAAAAAAAAAAAAAATAATAATAATAATGCTTTATTTATTCTGAGACGAGTCCCTTTAGAATAATACAAAGAGACAAGAATGGGGGCTAAGGAGCCTCAGAGATACATAGAGAAGAATATAGTTTAATTAAATAGTAAAAAAAAAAAAAAAATAGATGAAAAAAATAATAAGAGAATATTATAAGTTACTTTCTAATTTACATCAGTTAATAATAAAAAGTAAAAAATTGAAAATAAACATGAAGTAAAAAAATAAAGAACGATCTATTAATTTATATACCTATTTACAGTAGTAACTATTTACAATTTTATGATGACTGGATGGATCAGAAATGATTAAACAGTTGGGGTTTAAAGGTAGGAAGGGTTTTGGATTGATGGATGTGGGGAGGGATGGAGTTCCATAGGGAAGAGGATCGAATAATAAAAGATTTATCGAAAGCAGCGGTTCGGTGGGCCATTATATATAAGTCTGAAGACCGGGAACGGGTATTGCGGGAGTGGACAGAGGATTTAAATTGAAGGAGCTCGGCGATGTATGAAGGACGGCGGGAGTGAATTATTTGGAAGAGAAAGGATGCCAGGAAATACTTACGGCGGTAGGAAGGATAAATCCACTTCAACTCTTCATAGAAACAGGAACCAGAGGCGTCTCTTGGGATCCCGAAGATGAATCGTACAAAGCAATTTATCAAACGTTTTAGTTTAGCCTCAAGATCCCCAGAGACGCCTCCATATACCGTGCAGCAATAGTCGAAGTGGGAAAATATTAAGGAGGTGACCAGGAGTCTACTGATTTCAAAAGGAAAAAGGTGTCGCAGGCTATTCAAGTGTTTTAGGGTGGAAAAGGTACATTGGGAGATATTGGACACATGGTTTTTCCAGGAAAGGGTTTGATCAAAGATTATTCCAAGGTTTTTGATGGTGGAATAAAATTTGATGGGATTATCATGTAGAAACAGGGTTGGAAAGTTAGGAACAGTTTTGAGGAGGTGATTGGAGCCTATTAGAATTGCCTTGGTCTTTTCCGCATTCAACTTCAGCTTGTTAGCTCCTGCCCAGTCATATATTCTATTTAAATCTTCTTGAAGCTTTCTTGTGGCAGCTAATAGGTCAGAAGGGGGGAAGGACAGGTATATTTGGAAATCGTCAGCCTAGATGTGGTATTGGGAGTGATGGATACGGAGGGGAAGGTCATTAATGTAAATAGCAAACAGAGGAGGAGACAAGGAGGAACACCACAGGAGAGGGGAAGTGTCTTTGAAGGAGGTTGATCTGGGAGGTATAGTGTATTTTATATTCATATAACTCTAGATATAATATTATATTTAAATAATTAGGTATCTATTGGGTTTTTATTACAAAAAATCATTAAGTAACCTTTTAGAACATTAAATTAGTGAATAATTTGATGAATTTTTCCTTTGTGAAATGCCAACATTATCCACTTACAATTAGTGTTACAACTTTTGACCTATCCATGGCAGACATTGAAAATTTAATTTTAGTAAACTTTACAATAGAAAATAACAGTTTAATAACTAATAGTCCTACAACCGTTTAGTTTGTAAAAAAGTTTAGTCCAATAATTGCAATCTCCTTTTATTTATTTTTCTTTGTAACTAGGAAGGTAATGTTACTTTAAATGTATAATTGTTTGGAAATAATAAACCATTGTGAAATAATTTGCAGCGTTTCCGTTGTTTTTACTTTTTTTTATTTTTTTATTTATAATTTTATTGAAATTTACAACTATATTACATTAAAAATACAACAGGTAAATGTGACATTGGTAACATGACATGTAAAATATGAAGAGAAACTACCCATTGGTAGAACTCAAATTAAAGTTCTATATTAGAAGATCCCGAGGCTATCTTCTTTTCAGACGCCTCGGAGGGTTATCAGGGATAGAGGAGGAAGCAATGTTTGAAACAAGAGGGTTCGGATGGTTCTGCAGTTTGTTATGGAAGGATAGGTATCTGGATTGGGCCAGATTGGAAACATATGGAACATTAAGGTCTTTATGGATGATTTTGTTTGTGACAAAGTAAGGAGCATTGAGGATTTTATGAAGGATTTTGGATTGTAAGGATTGGATACGAGAGGAATTCAATGGCTTAGTGGAGCCCCAGAGCTCAATTCCGTAGGTCCAAATAGGTCTCATTATTGTCATATATATGAGTCGTTTGTAATTGAGTGAAAGCTTAGAGCGTTTGTCTAGTAAGTGTTGGAGTAGTCGGAAACGTCGAACGGTTTCTTGTCGTTTCAGTCTTGTATGAGGATTCCATGTGAGTGGTTTGTCGAGGTGGAGTCCTAGGTAACGAATTTGTTCAACTGGGATAACTGGGGAATTGTTAAAGAATGACCAGTGTTTCAACTGCCTCCCGCAGTGCCACATCCAACGCCCTGAAGACGACCTGCAAAGTGGGTCGAAACGTCGGCAAAAATTAAAATTATTTATATATTTTAATTTTTTTTAATTATTTGACCGCACCCTCAACTAATTCCTTCTCATATCATATCAACGGTCAACCATCTCTACATCATTGTTAAAGAATACTGTAGGATAGGAGGTCATAGGTTTGCGACGCAGGGTAAAGGTAATTTGATGGGATTTATTGGAGTTTATTTTAATCCTCCAGTTTTGACACCATTCTTCAAGATTTGTGATGTGTGATTGGAGAGTTTGGGATGCAATTGATGGATCGTTGTTAACTGATAGGATACACGTGTCATCGGCATAGGTGGTGATGACAGTGTTGGGATGGGTTGGAATGTCAGCTGTATAAACTGTGTAAAGGATAGGACCTAGGATACTACCTTGAGGAACACCAGAAAATTGAGATAAAAGAGATGAACAGGCATTTTTGTGATTTACTTTGAAGTATTTTTCACTAAGGTAGGAACGGATAATGAGGAAGTATGTAGGTGGTAGGAATTTACGGAGTTTGTACATCAGTCCCGGATGCCAGACTCGATCAAACGCCTGTTCAACGTCGAGAAAGACTCCCGTGCAGTACATTCCACGCTCCAATGCAGAGGAAACCACGTCTACCACACGATGACATTGCTGAATAGTGGAGTGAGATATACAGAAACCAAATTGGTGATCTGGGATTATGTTATTAGAATCTAGGATGGGATACAGGCGTTTTAAGATGAGTTTTTCTAGGATTTTGCCCATAATGGGTAAAAGAGAGATAGGACGGTAAGAGGATGGGTATTCTGGCGGCTTTGTGGATTTCGATATCATTTTGACTATGGATAGTTTCCAAGAGTCAGGAAAATATGTAGTTCGGAGTACCCCATTATATATATAGGTGAGGAATAATACGGCTTTCGGAGGAAGCAGTTTTAGGATCTGGGATGTGATTAGGTCATGGCCAGGAGCTTTGCGGGAAGGTAATCTATGAATGATATTGGATATTTCTGAAGGATGAAATGCTTTAGGTGGAAGGGTCAATTGGAGTGGAATATCGAGTTCTGCTTCAATACACTCAAGGTGGATTGGATTTACGATATGTGGGTGTGGATTAAATGTTTTGAAGAGGTGTTGAGCAAATATTTCAGATTTTCCTTCATCAGATCTAGACCAGGTTTGGGTTTTGGTAAGAAGTGGGTGGTTAAAATCTTTGAATTTTAAGAGCTTTTTAGTGGTCAACCATAGTGATTTGTCAGTAGTTGTTAGATTTTCTGTTAAGTTAAGTAAACTTTGGATTTTGTATTTCCTAATTTCAGCTTTTAGTTGGTTAGTTAACTTATTGTAATATGACTTGTCTGATGGGTATCTAGTCCTATGCCACTTCGATCTTGCTCTGCGTTTTTCCTTTAATAAGATACGAATGTGCTGTGGCAAGTTAGTCTGTTGGGAGTTGTTATTTTTATTGGTTGATGTGTTATCGTTAATTTTGTCACTTATAGATGAAGTAAGTACTTCGATGTTTTTACTTTTAAAATTTCTTTCTTTGTGAACTAAATATGGTTGATTATACGTAGATATTCTCAAATCATGTAAACACGCGTAATATCTTCAAATATGTAAAATCAAAGATCTTTTCTTTGCTTTGGTTTTAAATGGTAAAGTAAAATTAACTGAAGAAGGTTGTACAAGGCTTAGTAGAAAAAAATGTAAGTTCGGTTCATGCACACACACACACACACACACACACACATGCACACGCACACACACACAAAATGTTTTGGTAGACACCCTGTGTATCAACTTAGTCTTGGGGCAGTCTTTAATACTATCTATGATTATGTTTGTACGTTTTATAATTGAAGCTTTAGTCTTCTTTAAGTATATATTTTACTGATGTTCCAGTAAGCAGTTGATCATTATTGGTAACTATTAGTCCAGTCTGAGATATAAATCATCAATCATTACTCACTAAGTTTTGTTGCCACAGGACTGGGTGGTGCTGAGGTATATGCTTTCAGCCCTTCAGATGGATGCCGCGCTTGGGTCACATCCTATAGTTCAGACGGTAGAGAGTTGTGCTGAAATTAGAGAAATATTTGATTCTATTTCTTATGAAAAAGTATGAAAATTACAAATCGCTTGTTTAATTTTATTAATAAATTTAAAAATTAATTTTTTTCCTATTTGCTGTTGAACTTCCAGGGATGTTGTTTGATTCGGATGCTTGAAAATTTATCTCCAGAAGGCTTTCAATTAGGAGTAAAGAAGTATTTGGAAAGGTAAATATTTGATTTTATATTTCCTTCAATTTACCATTCTCGGTTTTATTTTCAGAATAAAACTATCCTAGTCCATTTTATTTGCTTAAAATTAAAAATACACAAAAGAAATATTATTTTACTTAATTTTACATGAAATTTGTATTTTGATATGTTATATGTTTTAACGCTTTGTAAAAATCTCTAAGTTGTAATTATAAAAGTTACTTGCTATTCAATCTATATCTGAATCCTTTTGTGTACTTTTGAACTACCTTAAGGTTAACTTATTTATATATATATATTTATATATACCTTGAAATCCTAAATCGGAATGATTAGGATATGTATTGGTTCTTGATTTGGTGCTGCAAAGATGCAAAACTTTCACTTGGGTCGCAGGGATATGACAGTATTGAGAGTAGATGGTATGAGTTTGGAGAGATCGTGATGGCAGAGTGTGTTGGAGCTTTGCATATTCTAGCCTCCTTGTGCTTAGTGGCGCCAGTTCGAATCTGGCCTGGGAGGTCTTGACTTTTGGGTGACTGTCCTCTAGGGAAAGCTAGGCTACCCGAGTCTCTCCCCTCCCCCTTCCGGGTATGTGAGACCCATCAGCCTACTGGAGACAACTCACACCAACCGAGGGCGTAGGACTGATGACCCGAACCTACCCCGTGTACTTAAATCGGGAGTTGGGATGTGGTTTACCACAATGTTAATAGTCCTCCTGAGATTCGGTCCATGTACCTGTTTCGAGGAAAGAAATATAGGTTCTTGTGTACCTGCTGACTCCGAGCAGCCATTATACATAGATCTAAACCGATTTGTCACTGTCCTTGAACCTGAATGATTTGGTGGGAAGGAGATTACCAGATTGGCTCCAAAAGGATGGGCTATGGAGCTACGTGTGCCCTGCCGCTTCACCACGGAGAGCATGGTTTGTAGCAACGTGAGGCTGGGTGACCCCCTCCAGGCTATCTGAGCTCCTGCAAGCAGGAGACGACATCTTGCGGCCAAAGATCTTCAAGGTCTGTAGTGCCAACCAAAAAAAGTAAAAATATATATATATATATATATATATATATATATATTTATATACAGGGTATCTCAGTTCTTAATATTCAAACTCTGGGGGGAGTGATTATAGATGAAATTTCGAACAAAAAAGTCCATTAAGACTAGTTTTGTATTTTTCTAAAGGTAGTCAGGTTTTTTATTTTATAAGACAGAATTGCCCATAAACTGTTCATAGTTCCGTAGACAAAGTTTTTAATGGCTCGCTTGGTTTCAAGAACAGTGAAAAATCAATCTGGCTAGATTTCTTACCATATATTATTTTTTAAATAATAAATGTAATAAAGAAAACAAACATAATAATAACAAAACAGTTTGATTTGAAATTGAAATAGACAAAAAGAAATTAATAATTCCCTCAACAATAACAAAACACTTGTATATTGTTTTTAATACCTTGTAATAAAGTTGTTGCCTTTCTGTCGTTTATTTTGACAATAAAAGACTCGTCTGTTTCTCGCCAAATATCCATTGCTCAGGTAGAATTCTCCCTACATGATTTTTTCTTTTAGAAAAAAGAGTCTCGTGTACTTCAACAACTTTGCCGGGCCCTCCAATTTTTTTACTTGACCTGTAAAACATTTTATGGGCACAAACCTATCTTAAAAGTTTGTTCCACGTTATCATAGTTGCCTTGGATAGTTTCAGCTGCTCTTTGCCCCACTTTATCATTGTTAAATTATGAGACCACCCATGAATTAATTTTAAACCCATTGAAAAACTAAATCCTCGACCTCTTTAACCATGTTCCTTTCCTTATAGAAACATTTTTGTTACAAGTGGTATGAAAGCATCTCCATTTAGTCTTCCTGTATAACTTCATTTGAAGACCTTCTTCACACAATTTCATGTTTGGAATTATCCTGGCGTTTTGAAAATATTCGATAGTCTCTTCTTCTGAATTTCCAGAATGTCATAACATCCATAATTTGACGAAAATCACACAAATGAAACAAAAATAAACAATAACTCACAGCTTACACGTGGAACAAAAATAAACAATGGAATAACTCACAGATTACACAAGGAACAAAAATAAACGATGGAATAAATCACAACTTAAAGGAAGAACAAAAATAAACAATGAAATGACTCATTGCTTACAAGAGATAAGAAGGGAGGTAATGTGATGTAACATTAGATAACAAGGGAGGTTTTGTCCTGCCGCCTATCTGACAAGTACTCTTTATCTTTCTTAAGTATTATCATTCTCATTCTAATTTTCTATTTTTATTAAATATTAAGGCATGCAATGTGGATAAAAACATGAGCATTTAATTATATACAAGATATAATTTGTAAAATGTTTTGTTGTTATTCTTGTTCTCTGCATGGACCATCTTGATCAATATTTACGCTTTGCATTGTTTAACCATTCTAGGTACAAATACAAAAGTGCGGTAACAGACAATTTATGGCAGGAGATAGAGGAAAATGTTGACTTTAAAGTAAGTTCATTCATTAACACATGGACCCATCAGATGGGATTCCCCGTGATTGCCATTGAGCAGTGTGTCGGAGGGAAAATGACAGTGTCGCAAAGCCGTTTCTTACTAAGCAAGCACTTTGTTTATGATCCTGATACATCACCTTATAAGTAATATATTTATAATTTTTTCCAAGTAATTAAGTAATCAAGTCTTAGCAAATGAGTTATAGTTTGATCCTAATATTTTTTATTAATCAGCCATTAGCTTATTTTTACCTTGTCTAAAGTTCATATTATTGATTTTTTTTTTTTAAGACAGCTAGATAGCCAATTTAATTTATTATTTCCTCTCGATTTTTGTAACATATTTGCATAAGTAATTTTAACATAATATTAACTAAATTTAATGAAAAAATTTTTTTTATAACTCAGATTTTTTAAATAATTAATTTCATTAATCTCTCAAATTTTTAAATAATTTTTGTTTGAGATTTGTAATGATTTTTTTTTTTTTAAAGATACAAATGGGATGTACCTATAAAGTACATTTCTTCAGATGACCCTAGCAATGTGAAGTTAGCATGGCTAATGAAAGATCAACATTCAGGTATTAAACTAACCATTAATAATAAACTTTTTATTTTTATATTAGCCCCCTATTTCCTCAACTATTTAATTATTACTTATATTGTTACTTAGCTTATATTGTTCTGTTGGGATTGGTAGTGGAAGTTAGTGGAGTTATGCTTAAAAACCGAGCAAATTATTGTGAAAACATACAATTATGCATTTAGTATATGTAGTAATTATCATAGAATTATATTATTTTTTCTTGAAATGAATTATGTTGATTCTTGATGTAGAAGATAACCAGAACCACACCATTGCGGTATAGAACTATAGGTTCCCTCTCAATGAAACAAAACATGGCTATAGCTAGTCCCTGTGAGTTATTCTAACCAGCGCCGGCCTTAGGTTGGGGCCGACCTGGAGGGGCGCTCACCACTTGTAAGAAAAAACAAATTACAAGACATTTTAAAATAATTATTAATTTTAGCATACCATTAAAGCAATGTACTAGAGAAATGTTGAATGCAATAAAATTCAAATGTTAAATATTATATATCAACTTAAGAAATAAATTTAATTTTTTTAGGGAGAGGGAATGACATCATTGTCCAGGGGCGCCGAATGCCTAAGGCCGGCCGGTACTGGTTCTAACCTAGCCTAAGCGTATGTTTGGTTTCAACTAGAAGGATTATATATATATAAGGAGGATGGTGCAGTTTGGACACGGTATAAGCATCTGTAACCCATCCTCTGTAAAGATTTGGGTATTAGTTGAATACTCCATTTAGGCTCTGACCCGACTTACTCCTTCTTGATCTCGTGAAATGTAACTGGTAGATGTGATATCAAATAAGTTAAAATGAAGTGTTCTGATCTACTTGGTATTCTTCCCATCTTGTTCGCTCTTAGTGTGTGTAAATGAAAGCACATTACACACTACATTGGCATGCTGATAATGTACGTTTGTATTCAATCTGATGGTCCAATCCCTGGAAGAACACGGCATATCTTTGAAGTCAGTGTGTACTAATTAAGTGAGTGATGATGAAAAGTTTCATGAAACTGAAATTACTTATTTAATGTAGGTATATATGCCTGGGATGTTACACCGCCTTTTGCTCCAAATCGATAAACCTGATATGTCATTATATCCCTTATTTTATACATTTTTACAATTTTTTTTTTAAAACAGCTCTAGCTATTTTTATATCAAGCAGGTGTTATCTTCATTAGGGTATATTAACTATTAGTTACTCAGTGGTGTATTTATAGCACATATAGCATTATAGAGAAGGCAGTGGTGTATTTATAGCACATATAGCATTATAGAGAAGACAGTGGTGTATTTATAGCACATATAGCATTATAGAGAAGACAGTGGTGTATTTATAGCACATATAGCATTATAGAGAAGACAGTGGTGTATTTATAGCACATATAGCATTATAGAGAAGGCAGTGGTGTATTTATAGCACATATAGCATTATAGAGAAGGCAGTTGCCGAACATGAGGCTAGGTATTAGCCCGAGGTCTGATAACAAAACACATCGGCTGTAAACCCCCACCTCTCTCCTCTCTACTACATCTTGTCATCGCACAGAGGCCAGCATTGGACTGCAAATTAGCAGTCACTAGGAATGGCAAAACCACCGTAGTGTGATTTAACTGCAAATATATTATCCTTAGTAAATACGTTAAATATTTCTGAACTTGACCTGACGAAGAAAAAAACAATGGTGCTGCCTCTTCTACGAGCCATTAATGAAATCAACATTGAAGCAGTATACTGGTATAGCTAGTGCCAGTTAGGAACAAAACTTTGCCGTTGTTCTAGCCAAGCTGTGTAAGATAACTGATGACATTAAGGACCTGAAATGCACCATTGGCAAACCAACGGGTTTGTCAATAAAAAAACTCAAAGTAATTGAAGAGGCAGTATCATAAAAAATAATATGATGGCAATAAAGTTAAATCGTGCAGAACATACCCAGCTCTCAAGTAAGAAGGATTCCCACAAAGACCTGAGAAATGTCTGAGAGGTTAGTTTCGTCTGTCAGGCGGCCATGGGTGTTGTCAAGCTTGATGCCAAGGACCTGGGCTTGGTGGGGAGAAAGAAAACTAGAGGAGAGGACAAGATGATGGATATTGTTCTGGATGAATTTGCATTGATCATCACGTCAGATGAAGCACATTTTCACTTGAATGGCTATGTAACAAGTAAAATTGCCGATATTGGGCAACTGGTGACCAGAGAGAATTGCACAAGCTGTCTTCGCACAGACAAAAAGGACTGAAAGGAGGACGTGCTCAACTAACCTTAGTTCCTCGTGGGCATTGCTCCTTATTATCCAGCAATATCTCACTAATCTTTGGTTTAATTTGTCCCAAATTTTTGCTTAGACCCTCCCGTACACTTAGTTCACTCCTTATCCACAAACCGACTTTCTTGATGTACTGTAACTCTGATTTTACTTGAGTTGGAACAAACTAAGCTAAGCCTCATTCATCTTACCTAACTGACAGCCAATTTTTCTGCTGCAGAGGAGGAGTGAGGAGTGCTGGAATCAAGTTTTTTCTATTATATGACCAACAGTTGGCTAATTTGACAAATTGACCTGCACAAAATGATTCGTTACTTTAAATAAGAAAAATCTTTAATAGCAGTGATATCACCAAAAGGCAAGACTTAGTCCGAGGTGACAGGAAGATGTGATATTATGAAGACTATACTGTTTTACTTAATTAAAAATGTATTAGCTTATGTATTATAACAAAATACATAATGAATGGATTTACTGCAAACTTTGGAAGTTGTAGTTTTAAAATCAAACTTATCTTAAATTGTTTTTTCTCTAAGATCTGTGCAATGCACGTATACTCCATTGACTTCTAGAGAAAAAATAAAAAGTCTTCAGGCTAGAAAATAAATGGAAGAATGTACCGAAATGGGTAGGATACTATCGACCTTGCCTACCCTATAATAAAGTGGGAACACATTAAATTTGTATTAATGATATTGTATTGTATTAAAAAAATGTATATTTCTGAAAAAATTTAGACGTTGAGAGTTTAATTGAAACTCTTTTACCTTTAACATACATTATCGATTTATGAAATAGTATTAGTTCACCTGTGCTTTTTTTGAAATTTTCATCATAAATATATGAAGAATTGTAGTTACTTAAAAGAAAAAAAAATTAATAAATTTGTTTCTCCAGTTATTTTAGATATACCTTCAAATACAAAATGGGTCAAGTTAAATTGGCATCAAGTTGGATTCTTCCGAGTCAACTATCCTTTAAATCAGTGGGAGGTTTTCAGCAATGAACTGATGAGAAATCCATTGGTAATTTATTTAATTAAGATATTATTATTATTGGAATTGGGCCATAATGTTATTTGAGTTTATCAAGACATTTTATGCTATTCATGTTTATTTTCTTTCTGATAACTATATATAGTTCAGTAAATTTAGGGATTTTATATCAAGAAAATTCATAATTGGCTGTAAATGTGGGGATTAATTCCTCATCGAATGTACAACAAACCATGAAAAGTCTCTTAAAATCTCATGTCCACTTCTATCCAAAATGGAAGGTCAAGGATGGGCACCTAGAACTTTCTGTCTTGTGTTATGTTTTTTCTCATATCTCTATCAAAAACCATCATTCTTAAATACTGCAAGTACTAATATAATCGACAAGGATGCTCGTTTTGGATTCCATCCAAGTTCACCTGATAAACAAATGATAAATGAGCTGTAAATTGATCTGTTAGGAGTCAAAAAGGCGAAATTTTCTTGATTCTAATTCTGTCACCTCTCATAACTTTGAAACCATTGACAATAGAAAATGATGTTTATGTTTTTTGTATTCCTGAGCAAGAGGAATGTTTGAAAAATTGTTTTTTTAATATTTGCTGAAAAATGGTGGAGATATGTTATTTTTTAATAAAAAAAGTCGTAATCTCAAAGCTGAATTTCATCTCAGACCATTCGGACTGGAAAGATAGTTATGGACTAGGAGCTAACGATCACTTCATTTAACTGAAGGACTTGGAGTTAGTAACCATTTTAAATTGTAGATAAACTTGATCTGAACACGCAACTTTAGTCAGTCGGTTGAAAGTCATTGCTCTCTATATGGAAATTTAAACTTAAATGGTAACAATTGACTTTTCCTTTAATGGTAGAAATGACGTAAAGATGTAAAGAATATGTCTCTAAAATAGTCATCTAAAAGGATTCACTACGACTGACGATGTACTCGGTTGCAGTTTGAAAACTGACGGCATCAAAGATATCAAATTAGTCCAGTAGAATGTGGGAAAAAAAAAATGGTCTCTCTTCGGTTTAATATGTTATTTAGGGTATTGAATCTTAATTTAAAGTTTTAAAAAGACATTTTCGATTGCATTCCCAGATATATCCAAAAAAATAGCGAAATTTCCGCACTTTTTATAGTTTATTTGCCATGTCTCCGAAACTATGTATTTTATCGAAATTATTACTCTAAATAAAGTTAAAGCACATAAAATCTAAAAGAACATATTTTTAGAATAGCTTTTTAATTGTAAGACCAAAAGGTGAGGAGTTACAGCAAGTAACTTTTTACTTATTTCATAAGAAATAGCTGTTTCATCGCTTTTTTCTCCAAAACTCAAAATCTATGCATCTCTTAAAGAAATTTATTAAAATAATTTTGAAAGAGCATTATGTTTTCTATATATCTCATGTAGATACGTTAATATGTGAGAAGATAAGCGGTTGTTAAAGTTATTAATTTTAAACAAAAAACATGTTAAAGAGCATGAAATGTGCAATACTTTTCTTTGCAGTTGATATAATGGAATGTAGTAGTAAATAAATAAAAATAATAGGAAAATGTTAAGCTTTTCAAACTAAAAACCTTTTTTAAAATTAAAAGTATTAATGATAAAACTAAGATTCATCTTAAATATTTTCCAGGACATAGTATTTGTAGTATACTATATCCCTAAAAAATGTCAAGCTTTCTTTTTCCTTATATCCTTTTTTAGTCGTGGGTCTTCAGAAATCTCAGAAAATGCACTCTTTAAAAATACAAAATTTTTAGAAAACATTCTTTTATTTTGTTGCATAAATGTTTGAAAATTCATCACTGATACTTCATTCCTATCTGGCTGACTGTTCCTTTCGAGCTTGCTGTAAAGAATTTTCTGATTGTTATTTTCTGATTGTTATTAAGCTTGAGGCTGTTGTTCCACAAAATCTGGGTTTTGATGATATTGTGGTGAGGATAAAAGTGGCCTATTTGTTTTTTCATGGCAAAACAATGCACCTCGGCCATGAAGGCCTATTGTAGACCCCTATTAAAGTCACTCCTATTAGAGTTTGATTCCTGCAGTCTCTATAAACTGAAGTAGGCTTGTTGGGTTGATAAACTTGTTTTCTTCGCATCAATGCCGAATAAACAGAATTAGTTCAGCAAACCTGTCGCACAAACAAGTGAAATGATAAGCTGTTTCATCCTCCTGACCACAGAATCTTCAAAGAGACGACTCCGTTAGCCGGAGATTAAACTTATGATATTTTACTGCTCAAGTTGTGCCCTGTACTTCTGCAGATCTAGTTTTTGATGATATTTTGGAGAGGATAAAAGTGCCATATATTTTTTATAATGAGAGTAATAAGACATTTTGGATTCATTAAGAAAAATGTGTTTCATTAGAAGATAAATATACAGAAGTAAAGAAATCTGAAGTTTCAATAATGACCTCTTTAAACTATAGAATAGTCACTTCATGTTTTTTGTTCTAACATAAATTATTTTAATACATATACTTCTTCTTATATCTATAAAAAAGCAAATATTTTGCTCTGTCTAATCATTTTAAAAAAAACTTTTAGATTTTTATAATAATGTTTATTTCATTTCTTTAATTTTTGTTTAGGTATTGGATGTTGAAGATCGTGTGAGCTTAATTGATGATGCTTTTAACCTTGCCTGTGCAGGCCATTTTCACTATCACATTCCTTTAAGTCTTGTTAAGTATTTTCAATACGGTAAAGAGAAGCATTTCTTCCCTTGGGCAGTTGCTTCTCAGTATATACGTTTCATCGCTACAAGGCTGACTGGTACCGATTGTCACTCATTATTGATGGTATTATAAATTTAATCATTTTATGAGCTTATTCCATTCTATTGATAACTTTAAAAACAAATTACTGTGAGCAGTTTTTCTGTATAATAATAATAATAATGATAATAATAAGGAAATAAGGCATAAGAATTTAAGTCTCTACTGTATGATTTTTAGAATTCTAGTTTCAAACTTTAATAATAACAAAGAAATGAAATGAAAACTTGTAGTCTGATAGCTAAGACCGAAAAGATAGTCTGATTTGAAGAAAGTTTTTGACAGTTAATTCCGAAAGTATTCTCACTATAGACCGCAAATAAGGGTATCGCCCACTGTAGGTATGATGCAATAAAATTTTATGGGTCATCAAAGTCACATTTTTCGGGTTTTCGCTTATATCAGGAAAACTATCTATCGCATCGACAAAGACGATATACAATATTAAAGCTGATAAAATTTGCAGTAGGATTGATTATATATCTTGTTTCGCTATGTCGCTTAGTTTCTCATCTATCCGTCTTCAGCTATCTCCAATGTGGAAAAAAAATTTGTTATCTCATGTTTTTTACTGTATTTAAGTTACTAGTTAACTCTTGATTGCTTCGTTTTACGATTAAGTCATGCGGAAGAAAGTTTTTAATAATTTTCTTCAAGAATATATACTATTTTACTAGTTTATCATTAACTGTTCAAAAGTGAGATCAATTATAACGTTATATGTCAATTCGGAGAATTTGCAGAAAATATCAATTTTTTCATATTATAAAATATTAAACCCTTTATAAATCTGAATCTCTATGTATATGTATATATATATATATATATATATATATATATATATACATACATACACATACACATATACATACATACAATAAGGTTTATTATAAAAATTAATTTTTCCACAAATTCTGGGAATCGATATATAAAGCTATAACTGATGTAACTTTTTAACCAGTGGTGATAAAATAGTAAAATAATATATACTCATTAAAAAAAATTAATTATTTAAAACTTTCTTCCTTGTGACTTAATTGTAAAACGAAGCAATCAAGAGTTAGCTAGTTAAATATAGTGAAAAACATGAGGTAACAAATTGTTTTTTTCCACATTAGCGATAGTTGAGGACCGATAGATGGAAAACTAAGCGAGATATCGAAAAAAGTATATAATCAATCATATTGCAAATTTTATCAGCTTTAATTTTGTGTAGAACATCTTTGTCGATGTGATGGGTAGTTTTCCTGATATAAGCAAAACTCGAAAAACAGTAAAGACGAAGCAATTTTTTTTTTTTCAATATTAGCCATGGTTTATGACAGATATCTTGGAAACAAAGTGAGATAACAAAAAATGGTATATAACCAACTGTATGGCAAAATTAGCTTTAATTTTTTATAGAACGTCTTTGTCGATGTGATGCATAGTTTTCCTGATATAAGCGACAACCCGAAAAAATTGACTTTAATGACCCATAAAATTTTATTGCATCCTATCTAGGGTGGCAGACGCCCATTTGTGGTCTATAGTGAGAATCTTTTCTGAATCCACGGTCAAAAACTTTATTTAAATCAGACCACATTTTCAGCCTCAGCTGCCAGATTATTGTAAAAAAGGAAACATTTTTATCTCATCACCTTTAATTGTAGAAATAATTAAATCACATTTATAATGCAGAATGTATAGAAACAAAAAAATTGAAATTTCAATTTTGCTTATGACTCTTATACCCAATTCCAAGTTTCAGTTCTTAAAATAATGTAAATAATATAATTAAAGGGCTTGCAAAAAAAAAAAGAGTTCAATTAGTGTTATAGTTCTTTTGAATTCAAAAAATTCTTTCATTTATTGCAACTTGAGGTTGTTGATGAAAAACCAACAGCAGGATCAGGTATAAGAAGTATTGCTAGACCAGGTATTACTTGATACTACCCGGTGTGAAGGACGAGATAATAGGACAAGGTATTGCAGGTATTTATAAGTGCTACGAGATGAGATAGTGTGGCACGGCTCTGTCCTAGGTCATTCTCTTTGGAGTTTTTCTAGGATTCAATTCGGAGAGTTCTCAAAGAGGAACATTCACTCCACCATTGCACACCTAAATGACAGCCATCGTGGTGGTCACCTATAGCAGAGTTCTACCTGCATCTTCTAGCTGGATACGTAAGGCTATGTGCCAATAAGCGCATGGAATAGTCACTGTCATTTGCGGATTATAGCTTGCTCGGGATGTGTTATATTCTATATTTAAATATTATGTGTTCTTCGTATATGTGGATTTTTTAAAATAATTCATTTAAGAAATAATGGAAATCTGAAATAATTATTTCAAAAATAAATAATTTTAAAATAAATAACTTTATTTTAATGAACATTAAAATATCAAAATAATTATTTCAGAAATAAATGTAGTAGTTATTTGATTGTGATTATTTCATTGAGAATATGAAATATTATTTCAGAAATAAATTATTGCAATAGTACTGAGGTCTAGATGAAATGATAACAAGCTATTTGGTAATATAAAATTATCGCTAGCTCCTGGGGGGGTATGATCACAAGTTGTCATTGTGGCTTCAGGTGTAGAATTAGTTCTCTTTTAATAAACTTTTGATTAAGAAATATTCCTTTTGAAATAAAAAATCTTCAATATATTTCAGAAATATATTCACTTATTATTGAAAGGAAATTTATCGGATGGCGTTTGGGATTTTGGAGAATCAAAGACATTCCTTGAAAAGTAAATGCTGCTCAATTAGATAACATTTTCTGTTCTTCATGAATTATTATTTTATTTTTTTAATTGTTTCAATAACTTTAAATTTTGTGCACTTAGGAAATTACAACTCGAGCTTATAAAATTAGCTTGTTGGTCTGATGAAGAAGAAACTCTTCTAAAAGTAAAAACATTATTCAGTAATTGGCTTAATTCTGGAGAACCAATACATTTCGAGTTAAGCCAAATAGTATATTCGTATGGTAATGTTCATGTTCCTTTATCACTCATGATGGGATTTATGCTATTGGATCATTTGATTGACAGTTTCTTATGTAGGACTTTCGGGCCAAATCACAGAAGAAGAATGGGAAAAGGTTTTACAGAGATGCCTCAATCAACGTAATGCCAAAGAGAAATTGAACCTTTGGCGTTCCCTTGGAAATGTGAAAAACAAACAGCATTTAGCAGAGTGAGATGTTTCTCAATAATAACTGGCACATTATTGTTACTCGTCTAACTAATCTCTAAACAGTTAAAATTCTTCTTACAGGTTAATTCAACTTGCTAAAGACCCAGATCATTTGAAATCTCAAGATTTTTTTATTGTTTTAAAAACCATTGCAAAACAATCTTATGGGCTTGAAGTTGTTTGGAATTTTATCAGGTGATGTATGAAGTGTTTACAATTTGAACTAAATGTCTGATTGGTAAAATATAATAATGTTTTTAATTTTAGGAATGAGTGGCCTTACCTAGTAGATCGGTTTACTCTTGAAGATATGGGCTTATGTGATCTGGTTTTCCAAGTTTGTTCCCAATTTGGAACAAAGGAGAGGTTGGATGAGGTATGTCGAGTTCAATTCTGATACAATAGATATCGTCAGTAATGGTTTATTGTTTTAATTTTGAGATTGGTATTTGTTTTTATTTCTTATTTTATACTTTACAAAACATAGTCTATTATTTCATGGAATGTTAGTGTATAGTTTCCAACTGTGTTCAGTTATAAACTATGTACAAAAAACACATATCTGAATTAGAGGGGTCCAACTTATGAATTAGGTTGAAGGGATATGTTACCATTTGACTTTAGATTTTGTCTGCGAATTCCCCTAAAAAATTTGGCAAGGTCTTACATATAAGATAATCCAGATTTAGGTGCTTTGTCTTACATTTTTGAATGCTCTAACTAATAGGGAGAGCTTATGGACGTGGGATCAACAATTTTAATGAAATATTTATTGTGATACAAAATTGAAAAGTATTAGACCTGTGTCCTGAGTGTCGAGAAAAAAAATAACAATAATTGGCTCTACTAGGATTTCCATGTTTTTTTTTTTTTTTTTTGTTTAAAATTGGACTGTATTTTTGTTTCGGGCATATAATGGTGTATCCAAGCTTCATCTATGATTAGCAATTTATCGGCGCCAAAACTCGGATTTATTGCGCCAACAGAGTGTTGGAAATGTTCATTCGAACACATTTTTGGTCTAGCGTGAGCAAACGGGGCACCCAACGTGCGGACAGCTTTCTCAAATCTATATTTTGATTTAATATGTAACAAACAAGTTCTTTTGACATGTTCATAACCTGTCTCTCTTACTTTAATTTGACGGTCATCTAGCACCATTTGGTGAACTTTGATTGATGATTTTGTCGATAGTTGCAGTTTTTGGGCTGCCCAAAATTTCACTGTGGTAAATGGCTTTCACTGGCTTTAAAAAACAAATATTTAATGTCAGCTCAATACTCGATTTTGTCCATTTTCACTAAAACACTCACATCAACTCACTCAAACGACTGTTATATAAAAACTGTGTGTCCAAAACGGCTGAAACTTTGGTGGGTAACTGTCAACAGATGAACAACGAAATTCACTTGTTTTTATTTACGAGTGCTGCCATCTTCACGTCGCGGTCGGAAACTTTTCAGACCACCCTCATATTTATAATTGAGAAAATCTTTGATCTTGTAAAATTTTGTTTGTATCACTATTCTTTGTTTTTCGTTATTTTTATATATTTTTTTCTCTTTTAAAGACTAAGACGTTTTTCAAGAAGTACCCAGATGCTGGTGCTGGAACACGATCTCGCCAAAGATCTTTGGAATGTATTGATCTTAACATTGAATGGCTCTCGACCAATTATCAATCAATGAAAGATTGGTTAAACAATATCAACAATAATATTAATATGGAATTAGTTGAGCAATAATGTCTAAAAGAGTATTGCTTTTAACGATTACCTGTTTGGCAGTGATGGCAATATTAAAAATAGGAGGGATACCTATATTTAAGAAAGCATACTTGTTGGATTATATTATAGATATAGACAAGAACCTGACCAAAATGGGCTTATTATTATTATTATAAATTTTATTATATCAGCTTGATTAAACAATTTCAAATAAATTACTCTTGTTAGTTGTGAGAACCAAAATGAATCTTAATTTTTAATATATTGATTGCTGAATTAATGATAGAACTACATAATTGTCTTGTTTTTGTTATTGGCAATGAAAGCTATAGTCATCAGTTATACAATTGACAATAAGAACTATAATTAATAATTTAAAAAATATTAATGCCTTCAACAGTCACAAACATCATATGGTAGTGTAATATTTATTGAATTGCTTACCTTTTTAGACTTCAGAGTTTAAAAAAAAAAAAATTTAATTGGCACATGGTAAAAAAAAAAGAAGAAATAAGAGTCAATGTTAGATTGATAAATCAGATACTAGTTATATCTGACTCATTTCATTTACTATTTTTCATTTCTCACCTCTAAAATAGATATGTACCTAGTATTTAATATCTTATATGAATTAATATTACCTCTTGTTTTATTTTTTGTATCTTTCTCTTTTTAATCTTGATGAAAACCTCCATTGTAGGTCGAAACATATCCTATTTAATACGTCAACATATTATGTATGTGACTGTTGACCGTACTCCCTTCACTAACCTCTTAAATTAAAATTACTGTCAATCATTTCCTTACCATTATAATTAATAATAGTTGATTATTATCATTGTTGGGTTGATAATTATTTTCTAATTTATTATTATATTGCATTATGTGTTATATTTTATAGTTTACATAATTTAACTATTAATAAAAAAAGTTTTATAAATATTAACTAAACAGTTAATATCTATAGTATTTTAATTGAGAAATTTTATATTTAATTGTCCTACCTTTATTCTAGTAAGGAAAATAAAATAATGCGTTCCGATAAATATATTTTGATTGATCTCTGTGTTACAAATGATATTATATTTAACTGAATTTTAAAAATAACATTGATATTAAACATTTATGTACAATAAAGTATTTTACGAGTATCCAGTTAAATTATTTCTATTTTCCCTTTTTTTCTTCTTTTCTTTTGGTTGACCCAAGACTTCCATGAAAGTCCTATATAGCCCATACTATTATATTACCAAAAATGCCTGCTGAATTTAAATCTTAATTTTATTAATATCTAATGATCTTTTTTTGTATATACTTATTAGAGGGGCATTGGTCTCATCGACTCTTTTGCTGATTAGTCCACCCAGTTGTTTTTTAATAATAACCTGTTATTTTACATGAATAAAGAAGAACACATGATATCGAAAGCTTTAATTATAATTAACCTAATTCACATTAAAAAAAAGTTTATCCAATTGGCCCAAAATCTTGGTCATTGTTTAAGACCATATAGTAATATTGACTTAAAGAAACCTTTTCTGTTGTGACTTCCCCGCCAAACAATATCACATAGATATGAATTCCGGCTCTACCAAATTCCTTCTTGTTTCTCCTCTTTTTCATTTTCTCTACATTTTGAGTGTGCATTTCAGTATTAGGATCTGTGAAATTCTCTGAATGGTTCATCATAAGGTGTTTGTCATGCATTCCTGAAATTTTCTGTATATTCCTGCTGATATAAGTTGTACCTGGAAGAATTGTTTCTTTAATGCATTCCAAGAGTTGCAGAGGTCTTGTCTGGGATGGCGTACAGAAAGCACTCCTTTGTCTCGCTACATATGCTTCTAAACACCCATTGTTGGGAAAATATCCTCCGAAAAATTGATGTCTGTTCTGCTATACATAATACTTTAGCACAGTACTTTTTAGCAGTGTACACTTCACACCAGGAATAAATAAATAATATGGAAGTGGTTAAAGATAATCTTATATGCTCTAACCTTATATTAGAGAGTATTCCCTACTTATTTCTACACAAATATGCATAATACTTCCACCTGTCATAAGCACCATTTATTTCTACGAATTTCAGGCTTAGGCTTTCAGGCTGAAGTCCCTCCAAAATGGTAAAATATAACTATGTTTTATGGAAAAAAATATTTAAAAAGTATCTCTTAAAGTATTTTTGTTCGTGTAATTACATTTAATAGAACTTCAAGAATCACTTAAACTCCATTTCATATAGGTAGTTAATTTCTTTCTTTTTCTCCAACGTAATTATAATTATATTAAATTATATAATTATATGAAAAAAAACAGTTTTTGGGCTGAAGCTCCCTCCTCAAAATCAAATCCTGGATCCGCTAGTGCTGGAAAAAGTAATAAGAACAACATCTCAGAAAAATTGAGGAATCCACGGAGGAATGAAATCATAAAATTCTTGGATACGCAGATGATATAGCTGTCCTTGGAAGTAATTAAGAGGACATTGAGAAACTTTCTAACACTGATAAGAGAGATAGAGCAGATCGGCCTACAAGTAAATGAAGATAAAACAAAATATATGACAATAAGCCAAAAATTTCACTCCAATAACAGAATATGCGTAGAAGGAAAATCATTCCTGAGAGTAGAAAAATTCAAATACCTCGTCTCCACAATAACCTCAATGTATGACGAACTGTCAGAAATAGACCATTGTATAACTAGCGCAAACAGAGCTTTCTTCTTCCTTTCAAAGGCATTGGAATCTCGAAAAATCTCAAGAAACAGAAACCACCAATTAAGGGTGTACAATGCTATGCTAAAACCAGTTCTAATATATGGCTTTGAGACCTAGACACTAACCAGCACCCTAGAAAAATAGAGCATAGGTATTTTAAGATTTGAGAGAAAAAGTCACACGATAACCGGAACGATCTGGTATCAGACTTCTAACACGTGGAGAAGAAAGACCAATAAAGAACTACTTACAGAAACTGTTTAATCAATATCCCATGATATGAAGGCACGGAGGTTATGATGGGCAGGGCATTTAACTCGTAGCAATTCATCTGAGAGCCTCCAGGTGACAGTGAATGTCTCAATAGAAGGCAAATGACTACGTGGAAGGCCAAGAAGCAGATGGATTAACAAAGATCCAATTGAGGTGTATACAGATAACTGAAAAGAAATAGCCCAAGACAGGCAGGAATGGAGCAGGCTTGTTAAGGCTGCAAAAGATCTACATTGATCTGTACAAGATTTTTATTTTTGTTTTAAAATTTTCTGATTACATAGATTAAGGTATGCTCCAGTGGCCGCTCTAGCTGCGGCGCCCCGGTCATCCTGCCCACGAGATGTTCCTTAATGTTTATACATACTAGCGTTTATTTTGATGATTCTGGTATATTGATGACAACAATGAATTTCAATTTTGGCATTTCTGAAAATTTTGTTTTGCCAAAACATTTTATGAATAAGTTTCAGAATAACTGTTTTAGTGAATTTTATCTAAAAAAGTTATTTTGATTAAGGTTTTAAAATAACTTCATAAAAAAATTGGATGTAAAAGAAACATGCAAGATAAAAAATAAGATATAAGTTTAACTTTTGACAGTTGAAGATGGCCCCGTGATCTCCTAATGTAGACATATCATTAGAGTGCTACCTACCATTGGGTAGTTACTCAGCGAGTGTTCTCACGTCATTATATCCATATGTTCAAATTTATTAAATGTATTTCTTTAATACAGTTGTGAATATCATTAAGAAATAATAAAAAAAACTTTTGACAAATAAAAGTTAACTCATATTTTCGAGTCCTGCTCTTTACCTGTAGAATTCACTTATAAATATTGTCTCATGCACTGATAGTTGGTTATTGAATATTCTTAAAGGAATTTATTTGCCGTGTTAGGAGTGTTTAAAAATAACCTTGTCAATCTATTAAGAGTTATTGTATTAATAAAAAATATATAAATAAAAACCCTGAACAAGGAATGACAATATGGAAGAGTCTTTAGGCAAATACTTTTTGATAACTGATGAATATAGAGGCACGTGATAAGTTCAGTATTTCTCCAGCAGATCCAAATCTGATAAAAATGTAAAAAACAATTTCTGCTGCAGTCAGCCTCTATCCTTGCAGGGTGTCTACCATCCCTTAGAAATTCTGGACTCATTGTTAAATTGATCTTTGTCAGATCATGGACAAGATGTATTTTGACATGGAGCTCCTCAAATTATATCCATGGATGTAAACTTTTTTTTTTTTCCGGTTACTCCAAACTCACCATTTTTGACATACCAGAAGAGGGTAGGGTTTGCTCTAGAGGTACAACCAAACCTATTCTAACCAGAGTGGAAAGATGAAGGTTTATTCTGTGGGTCCATCCCAAAAATAAATTTGAACCCTTCTAAGCCGGATTCAAATCTGTGCTGTTAGACCTGAGAATGTTAAATCAGGCAACACCTCAACACACTCATTCGTCGTGGCCTGATATATTGTAAAATTTTATATAAAGTAATTGTTTTTGTCTTTTATCGCCTTATGATATTTTAGGTTTAAAAAGAATAATTAAATACTAGGATATTTATAGAATGTAGAATGATTTTTGAATTATTTACATGGAATTAAAATCAGCATTTTTAATTGCTAAGGTTCATTTGTGAAAATGATGAACCAAAATGTGTAACACCTCTAATGGGCTATTTCTTTGCTAGCATAGATCCTACGTTAATAATTTTTTTTTGTAGGAAATTTCAATCCTCTTTCAAATGTTATACATAAAAAATAATTAAACCATAAAATTTATACTTTTTGAGGTATTTTAAAACAAAAGAAGACGTTTTTTACTTGCCACAATTATTCATAGAGTGATCAATTCGTTGTACAGGTATTGGGAGACAAAACAAAAAATAAGCTACAAAGTCGGTCCATCCCTTCCAGAGTTAATCATGAAACAGACATATTATACTTGTCTTACCTGAAATTTACAGTTAAATATATTTTACAGAAGTTGCTAGTAACAATTTATGAAAGGGTTAAAAATCGTCAAATCCAGATCTACAAAAATGTTTCAAATTAACATAAAATACATATAAAAATAAACCAATATTATACAAAGGACCAAAGAGAATTAATAAATAAGGCATTAGAGGGTGCAATTAAAGTATATACACTTTTTTACTTCAAATAAGAAATTTTTATTTATAACATCTGTGAAGTAACCATTGATATGTGTAAATTTTTATTTGTCTAGGACTCTACACACTATAACTATTTTGTCGACCTGGAATTTTTCTAAAACTCAGTCAGGTCAGAATTACATTTAATATTTTTAGGAGACACCCTGAGTCTTGATCCAGAATTTAAGAGCTCATTGCAATACACACTAAGTTTTAGATATTTTATTCATATTACCCAAAATATCTTTTGTCAATATATTATATATTTTATTTTTTTGTGATATTGAAGACCAGAAAATTTTTTGAGACTGTTGACTTGAACAAGAAGAATATAACCAATGTACAACATATAATATTTGAGCTAATGGAAGTGAACAATGAATGGTCACATTTTTTTCTGGACAATATTGAACTTTGGATTGAAGAAAACCTTGCTACGCAGGCTTTCGACATTGAACGAGATTCTGAAAAGCATGACTTGCTGGCTCCATCTTCTCCAGTTTAAACTTGAAAAAATAAATTTATTTTCTAAAATTTTCTTAATTGAGTTTTACATTTATGATATAATAATTATTGTGAAATACATAATACGGTTCTAATGTCTGTAGCATGTTTACCCAGTGGTGTAGAGTAGGCTTCTGCTATCTGCGACAGATGAAAAATATGCTGTCATAGCTTTTTCCCCACAAAATATGGTATTATTACTATTTAATTATGATATAATATTATCATACAACAAGAGATTAATTTGAAAACATATATTTAGTTCTAATATGGTGTTTTTCTTGACATGAGTCAGTCTTTTGATAGAATATGGTATGATGGTTTATTACCTAAATTAAAAACAATTATTCCTCCAACGTATTACTTAATTTTACTGTCATATCTAAAAGATAGATTTTTCTGAGGTGAAAATAGGAACTGAGTTTTCTATCATCAAACAAATAAAAGCTGGAGTACCTCAAGCCAGTGTCTTGGGTCC